TGCATCATTTTTTAACGTAGCCGACAAATTGTAATTACCCTAGGCTCAGGCAGATGTATGGTAGAAAATCCCCCAAGTGAAATACACTACGGCGGAAATAAAATACCCTACGGCGGAGCTCGGTTGCAATTTGTAAATACGCTTCCGGCGCACGATTGCCGCGACCTTGGCGGCGGCATTAAGTGACGTATGAGCCTAAAAGTAAGAGTTTACGCAGTCATGATAGTATATATATTTTTGATATATATTTTTTCAATATGATGTATTTAAAAGAAGTTGGGTTTAGGAAAAATTTTGACATTAACTTCGAACATTTAGCTGATGACGTAAAACAATATTGCGGCAATCGTGCGCCAGAATTGCCCCTTACGTCAGCAGTATGACGTCATCACATTACGTCAGCTCGCGCAATTTGATAGTAGCTTGCTGCTATCACCGGTGAAACAGGGCCCCTGTTTCACCGGTGATAGCAGCACGCTGCTATCAAATTGCGCGAGCTGACGTAATGTGATGACGTCATACTACTGACGTAAGGGGCAATTCTGGCGCACGATTGCCGCAATATTATTTTACGTCATCAGCTAAATGTTCGAAGTTAATGTCCAAATTTTTCCTAAACCCAACTTCTTTTAAATACATCATATTGGAAAAATATATATCAAAAATATATATACTATCATGACTGCGTAAACTCTTACTTTTAGGCTAATACGTCACTTAATGCCGCCGCCAAGGTCGCGGCAATCGTGCGCCGTAACTACCCATTACGTCAACAGTATGGCGTCACGACATGACGTCAGCTCGCGAAACGTGATAGCAGCTTGCTGCTATCACCGGTGAAACAGGGCCCAGAACTTTTGCATGCAGACCCTGGAAACTGGAGGGTTTATGAAAAGTAACAAAAATAAACATACACTGATACCTGTTATAAATTTCATATGTAGCATAAGCGCCAATACTGCCTTCATTTACAATTTTGCTACTGTTTTCCACTCACAAACGCTGCCCTCCGTGGACAGCAGCAGCAGCAGTGAAACGTCACCCGTGGTGTGACATCATGGCCCTGTTTCACCGGTGATAGCAGCAAGCTGGGCCCTGTTTCACCGGTGATAGCAGCAAGCTGCTATCACGTTTCGCGAGCTGACGTCATGTCGTGACGCCATACTGTTGTCGTAATGGGTAGTTCCGGCGCACGATTGCCGCGACCTTGGCGGCGGCATTAAGTGACGTATGAGCCTAAAAGTAAGAGTTTACGCAGTCATGATAGTATATATATTTTTGATATATATTTTTTCGATATGATGTATTTAAAAGAAGTTGGGTTTAGGAAAAATTTGGACATTAACTTCGAACATTTAGCTGATGACGTAAAACAATATTGCGGCAATCGTGCGCCAGAATTGCCCCTTACGTCAGCAGTATGACGTCATCACATTACGTCAGCTCGCGCAATTTGATAGTAGCTTGCTGCTATCACCGGTGAAACAGGGCCCTGCACGCGCGCGAGCACACTACGTCACGTCCGGGGGGCACTGGGCCCTGTTTCACCGGTGATAGCAGCAAGCTGCTATCACGTTTCGCGAGCTGACGTCATGTCGTGACGCCATACTGTTGTCGTAATGGGTAGTTCCGGCGCACGATTGCCGCGACCTTGGCGGCGGCATTAAGTGACGTATGAGCCTAAAAGTAAGGGTTTACGCAGTCATGATAGTATATATATTTTTGATATATATTTTTTCAATATGATGTATTTAAAAGAAGTTGGGTTTAGGAAAAATTTTGACATTAACCTCGAACATTTAGCTGATGACGTAAAACAATATTGCGGCAATCGTGCGCCAGAATTGCCCCTTACGTCAGCAGTATGACGTCATCACATTACGTCAGCTCGCGCAATTTGATAGTAGCTTGCTGCTATCACCGGTGAAACAGGGCCCAGGGCCCTGTTTCACCGGTGATAGCAGCAAGCTGCTATCACGTTTCGCGAGCTGACGTCATGTCGTGACGCCATACTGTTGTCGTAATGGGTAGTTCCGGCGCACGATTGCCGCGACCTTGGCGGCGGCATTAAGTGACGTATGAGCCTAAAAGTAAGAGTTTACGCAGTCATGATAGTATATATATTTTTGATATATATTTTTTCAATATGATGTATTTAAAAGAAGTTGGGTTTAGGAAAAATTTGGACATAAACTTCGAACATTTAGCTGATGACGTAAAACAATATTGCGGCAATCGTGCGCCAGAATTGCCCCTTACGTCAGCAGTATGACGTAATCACATTACGTCAGCTCGCGCAATTTGATAGTAGCTTGCTGCTATCACCGGTGAAACAGGGCCCTGCTATCACGTTTCGCGAGCTGACGTCATGTCGTGACGCCATACTGTTGTCGCAATGGGTAGTTCCGGCGCACGATTGCCGCGACCTTGGCGGCGGCATTAAGTGACGTATGAGCCTAAAAGTAAGAGTTTACGCAGTCATGATAGTAAATATATTTTTGATATATATTTTTTCAATATGATGTATTTAAAAGAAGTTGGGTTTAGGAAAAATTTGGACATTAACTTCGAACATTTAGCTGATGACGTAAAACAATATTGCGGCAATCGTGCGCCAGAATTATCCCTTACGTCAGCAGTATGACGTCATCACATTACGTCAGCTCGCGCAATTTGATAGTGGCGTGCTGCTATCACCGGTGAAACAGGGCCCATCACCCATGACGTAATGGAAATCCAGTTGTTACCAAGGCCCCACAAAACGCAATGCTCAAATTCAATAAAGTAATGCCAAGGTACACCTTAGTCATTAGTGCCTAGGTTATACCTGTGATAAAATGATTTCCATAAATAAATAAAATGTTTTTTAAATTTATTTAAATGTATAAATTTTAATTTCAGTTTTTATTTACTGCATGTTTGAGATAAAAATGCAAAACATTTACCTCAAATAGAAGGTTTCCAAATTTCCGCTAGGTTCGAGACCACATAGGTGAAAGATCATCCATTTCTTGCGCGCTTGTTGCGTGCACTGGCGCAGAAGGCACAGGGCCCTGTTTCACCGGTGATAGCAGCAAGCTGCTATCACGGCCCTGTTTCACCGGTGATAGCAGCAAGCTACTATCAAATTGCGCGAGCTGACGTAATGTGATGACGTCATCCTGCTGACGTAAGGGGCAATTCTGGCGCACGATTGCCGCAATATTGTTTTACGTCATCAAATAAATGTTCGAAGTTTACGTCCAAATTTTCCTTTAACCCAACTTCTTTTAGATACATCATATTTAAAAAAATATATAATAAAAATAAATGTACTAAAATGACTGCGTAAACTCTTACTATTAGTCTCATACGTCACTTAATGCCGCAGCCAAGGTCGCGGCCATCGTGCGCCGGAACTGCCCATAACGTCAGCAGTATGGCGTCATGACATGACGTCAGCTCGCGAAACGTGAGAGCAGCGTGCTGGGCCCTGTTTCACCGGTGATAGCAGCAAGCTGCTATCACGTTTCGCGAGCTGACGTCATGTCATGACGCCATACTGCTGACGTTATGGGCAGTTCCGGCGCACGATGGCCGCGACCTTGGCTGCGGCATTAAGTGACGTATGAGACTAATAGTAAGAGTTTACGCAGTCATTATAGTACATTTATTTTTATTATATATTTTTTGAAATATGATGTATCTAAAAGAAGTTGGGTTTAAGGAAAATTTGGACGTAAACTTCGAACATTTAGTTGATGACGTAAAACAATATTGCGGCAATCGTGCGCCAGAATTGCCCCTTACGTCAGCAGTATGACGTCATCTCATTACGTCAGCTCGCGCAATTTGATAGTAGCTTGCTGCTATCACCGGTGAAACAGGGCCCTGCTATCACCGGTGAAACAGGGCCCACGTTTCGCGAGCTGACGTCATGTCGTGACGCCATACTGTTGTCGTAATGGGTAGTTCCGGCGCACGATTGCCGCGACCTTGGCGGCGGCATTAAGTGACGTATGAGCCTAAAAGTAAGAGTTTACGCAGTCATGATAGTATATATATTTTTGATATATATTTTTTCAATATGATGTATTTAAAAGAAGTTGGGTTTAGGAAAAATTTGGACATTAACTTCGAACATTTAGCTGATGACGTAAAACAATATTGCGGCAATCGTGCGCCAGAATTGCCCCTTACGTCAGCAGTATGACGTCATCACATTACGTCAGCTCGCGCAATTTGATAGCGGCGTGCTGCTATCACCGCTGAAACAGGGGCCCTGTTTCACCGGTGATAGCAGCAAGCTACTATCAAATTGCGCGAGCTGACGTAATGTGATGACGTCATACTGCTGACGTAAGGGGCAATTCTGGCGCACGATTGCCGCAATATTGTTTTACGTCATCAGCTAAATGTTCGAAGTTAATGTCCAAATTTTTCCTAAACCCAACTTCTTTTAAATACATCATATTGAAAAAATATATATCAAAAATATATATACTATCATGACTGCGTAAACTCTTACTTTTAGGCTCATACGTCACTTAATGCCGCCGCCAAGGTCGCGGCAATCGTGCGCCGGAACTACCCATTACGACAACAGTATGGCGTCACGACATGACGTCAGCTCGCGAAACGTGATAGCAGCAAGCTGATAGCAGCAAGCTGCTATCACGTTTCGCGAGCTGACGTCATGTCGTGACGCCATACTGTTGTCGTAATGGGTAGTTCCGGCGCACGATTGCCGCGACCTTGGCGGCGGCATTAAGTGACGTATGAGCCTAAAAGTAAGAGTTTACGCAGTCATAATAGTATATATATTTTTGATATATATTTTTTCAATATGATGTATTTAAAAGAAGTTGGGTTTAGGAAAAATTTGGACATAAACTTCGAACATTTAGCTGATGACGTAAAACAATATTGCGGCAATCGTGCGCCAGAATTGCCCCTTACGTCAGCAGTATGACGTCATCACATTACGTCAGCTCGCGCAATTTGATAGCAGCGTGCTGCTATCACCGGTGAAACAGGGCCCTGGCCGCGCGCTGGGGGAGGGGTTTGGGACGATTTGTTTTATTATTATGCTTTTAATGAAAATCTGGCAATGCCAAGTTATCTATGCTGTATATCATCACCAGCTGGGATTCCTGTACTCTGCAAAAAGAAGGGTGACATTGCCAATGTAAGTTGACCTAATTGGTGCGTACCTATATATATAATACATACAGGCTATAGCTGACAAAGTATTTTAATTATCATTCAGTTAATGGATTCATGTTGATAGGTTCCTACCATGGATCACAAATTCTTGTTCTTGCCTGTATTTCATGTATCAGTGCATCGCTTTCTTGCATGTAATGTATAGGAAGTAAGTAAACCATGCTAACACGATAATTGAAAAGGGCTGACAGAATGTCAACATCAATATCCTATGATCTAGATCCTAATTGACTGAATTCTCATGAGTTGGATGATCAGTCACAAAATTTCTAATTCTGGTATATTCTAGTGCAACTCCAAGATTGGTATACGTTAACCCTCGCCCCGTTGGGGGGAGCCAATTAGCCCCCCCTGTGGTTTTTCCTGAATAGCAAGAAAACGGCGGCGCACAGCGCCGCCAAATTTTCAGTACTTTCCTGGGCATCAATTTGACACCTTCACACCAAATTTCAAGTCTTAGGTCATCTTAGGTCAGGAGTTATTGAGGTCAAACTGAGGTCATGTTTGAGCAAAAATGGGCAAAAAACATGCAATCTTGAAACACCCTCCAAATCTACAGTTACAAAGCAATTTCAAAGTTCTTTATATGGTCTAGTAGACAAAAAGCGGCGCTACAAAACTGCTATCTCGGATTTTGAAAATTTTGGGTTTTTGACCCCAAAAAAATTAAAAAAAAATGATTTTTTTTTAGAAAAAATAAAAAAACCAAAAATTTCCGGATTTCGAAAAACTGGAATATATGTAATAGTCCCTGCGCTTTTCTATATACATACCAAATTTCAGATCGATATCTCGTTTTTTGGCCAAGTTATAGCGAAAAAACTTCAAAAATGAAGACGTCAAATTTTTTAACTCAATTTTTAGCGATTCTAGACCACGTAGGGCAAAACAAAGACCACCATTGAACTCCCCGTGACGAGCTGCATCGAATCGATACCCATTTTATGCAAAAATATCAACTTTAAAATTTGACCTAATTTGACCTGACCTTGACCTGACCTTGACCTTACCTTGACCTGACCTTGACCAAAACGTGACCTAAGCTGGCCCCAAAGGCTGCCTGACCCACATAATCGCATTTGTCATGTAAAATGGGCCATAAAACATGTATTACACGACACTTTCATATTGTGACCCCCCAGTGACCTGACCTCTGTGACCTGACCTGTTATCAGTGACCTCAAATAGTAAAATATGTGTTTGAAGAACATTTCCCCATCGATGATTTTCAATGAAATGCATTTTACTCGATTTTACAACGCATTTCTTGAAATGCCTGTAAACGGTGAAAATTCGACCTTTGACCTGACCTGTGACGTCATTGGTTTGATCTAGGTCAATAAAATTGGGTCACAAGGTAGTTCGCTGATAGGGCTATCCAACACCGTTTGCCGCTTGTCGCTAGGTTGCGTGGTTCTCGAGATCTTAGGGGGGGGGGGGCCAAAATGCCCCCCCCCCCCCCCCCAACAGGGCGCGTTGCTCGGCAGAGCCCAACGGGGCGCGGGTTAAAAACTCTTAATTTTGCAGACTAGATAGGTACCTACTACCTAACTCGATAGGTATTCTTATAGAAGGTATCTCACATGCTGCCACCTAATTATGAAAATTTGGTAGACTCTTATGTTCTTGAGATATTTACACAAATCTTGCCTCACTCATTTAAGTTTACAGAACCATATAATTTATGCTTAAGACCTGGTTAAAGACCTGATGACACTAAGGAAAAATATCATAACATAAGTTCTCTGTTATAAACTGATGCTTCTGTTTTTTTTTTCAGCTACCATTTCCAATCCAGGCTGCCCTAAATGGAGCGTTTGTTTTTGGCAAGTCATTTGATGTTCATCTACTAAGTGTGGAGACAACATGCTGCCAAATAAGATGGAGAGAGTTCCAGGACAGGTGAGCTGATCTACCAGCTGCAGTTATACTCTGATCTGATCCTGGTATGTCTCATGCATCGTATTGATTTGCACTGCAGTCAGTCATTAGATGGCTCGACCTTTCGACAACTTGCGGACATTCACAATCAGCGATTGGCGACAGGCTTTCTCGCCGACTGATCGTCGATCCGGAAGCAGTGGGAGAAATTCGAACGTATAGTCGAAACTATTGAGTAGATACTGCTCAAGGGAGATGTTGCAGCCATGCAGCGATCATTCGATTCCACGTGCGAGCCTCAGTTGTCCTAACAAATTAACTGGTGCACAGTAGCGAGGTTGATTTTACCCTTTTATCTCATATTTATCAATTGCCGTGCTACTTCAATTGTACCTACTTGTGCACATTTTATTTAAGATTTTATGTATTTTAGTGGATTTGACGTGGACGTCAAAGAACCGTCGCTGGAGCAGGCTCCTAATGCGCGATGCTATTTAAATACGCGATCGTATTTAACGATGTAACGATCAACGGCCCACCAAAATTCATTAGGGCGTTTCAACATTCGAACCTGTCGCTGACGTACCAGCACAGGGATGTGTAACTCTGACCGACTCCGTGCAGTGTGACGGTGATCCTGATCTGCGAGCTGTCCACCGGCGACCCCATCCACTTGGACCATCTGATGGACCAGATCTGGGACGCCATGGTTCTCTGCGTCGGGGTCGATGACCTCGCAAACATGGCCAACGTCGAAAAGGTCAAACGGCAACTCAAGGTTCGTGAAGGCGCAGAAACATCGAATGCAGCAAATCCGATGCTTCTTTTGCATGTTTACGAGTATAGCGCACATGTGCTTACAAGTGACTGCCATTTGGTAAATTCTTTGCATAAGTAAATGAAGGTGTTTTGAGCTTTCCGGCATTCATACCAATTACCATTGTACCATTATTCATTGTGCGAACAACCCCGCGGCTAACGGCACACTACCCAACTCGGTGATATGATGCGTTCAGCGTTACTGTGACACGAATCCCGCCCTTATGTGTGACGCTGTGTTACGTCTCTCAGGGCTGCTACCGACTGGTGGATCGCCTGCTGGACGGCCTGGAGGAGGGACACGACACCTTCTGCGACCTCACCGGCCTGCCGGACGTCATGCTACTGCCGCCGTCCACCAAACTGCAGGTCAGTGACCACGCCGGTCAACCTGTCGTTATTTTGGGAATGTAGTGGAGGAATGCTCTGGTGTGTGCGCGCGCTCGAATCGTATTCTCTATGACTATCCGTACTGTAATCGCGTCGTGCTGTGCCGTCTGGACTGGGCTGTAATCGTGTCTTGCGGCACTGTCAGCTGACTGGTGACTGAGTGTCGTCCTGCACTGTCAGATGGCTGGTGACTGAGGCTCTTGCCTCGCCGCTCAGACGGCTAGGGACTGAGTGTGCTCCCTCACCATTCAAATGTTGCTGGAGCTGGTGACTGAGTCATGGATGAAAGAACCTGGATAGGAAACTCCTATTCCTTTCACATTACGGGCAGCATTCCGGGCGATCGCCCTGCCACCTAACGTTCGGTAGGTATCATTGCTGGAAACACCCGCCGGTAAGCATTAAGGCCTGGCTACACTATGCGTTTTCTTCGTGCGTTTTTTGCGTGTTTGCGTGTTTTGCGTGATATCGTTCTAGAAAAAGGAACGATATTACGTTTTTGTGATGTTTTTCACCTTAAATTTTAGTTACATAAGAGTTATATTAGCTTTTGTATATAACCAAAGTAAAAATTATATTGTTTATAACTTTTTTCCTAGAACGATATTACGCAAAACACGCAAACCTGCAAAAACGCACGCAGAAAACGCATAGTGTAGCCAGGCCTTTACACTCAATATACCTTGAGCATTACGGTCTTTGGGGGACGCGGGGCGGCCTGTTTTTAAACGGGTATTAGACCGCAATGCGCATTTATTTTTAGGTTTAGAAAATATATGCCATGGACAAAATTGATCAGGCTATCGAATGAGGCCAAAACTATTATTTTCCGTTGCGCACAAAATTCGTACACGAGGGCAGCATACAGGCGACCTTGAAAGTGATGGCCATTTCTAGTGTTTTTCTCTTACGCGGCGCCAGTGAAAGCTTACGCGGCGCCAGTGAATGCGCGGTGGACGCGGCTCCCGCTGCCGCAGGGGCATTCCACGTCAAATCGAACAAAAATCGGCTGTTTTGCACCTTACCATCAGCGATTTCATTATAAATTTGTGAGCGAGTTCCTGTGTCGCCCCGGACATTACATTGATGTTTTTTGCACATTCTGACCACAGGTCTTCTAAATATAGGGCATCAAATTTTTACAAAATGTTGCATCTTTATATTTTTGAACGACCATAACTTTGGTTGTACTTGTTTGATTTGAATGAAATAAACCTTACTGCTTAGGTAATTTCTTAAGCATTTGTTTAGAATTGCATCGACTTAAATATATGACCTTGAAATTTGCTTAACTCTGTTCTTAAGCACAAAAATTGAAATAGCAAAAAACACGCCACCTTCGATTTGGCTCATTTTCATATATTTTATTGCCTACCATATTCTTAACAACCTGTGAAAAAATTAGAGTGGGCCATTCATAAGTTTTGAAGAAAATGGCACATATGCAAACGTATGTTAGCACGCGCAGTGGAGGGGGAAGAGTGAATTTCGCCCCACCCCTCCTGTTTTTCGCCAATATCTCATAATATTGATGCGAAATTACTTATGGCTACCTGTCCAGAATTGAATTGCACATCTCATCGTGCAAGCAATAAGAAAATCGGTTCACAACTGTTCTAGTAATAGCGGTGTAAAGTGAACATCCTGTCGCCGCGGCGACGCGGCGACTCGGCAGCCGGCGCCGACCGCTACGCGCCGCCTGAATTGTAGACTGTGCCGGGACGGAACGGAACGGTTCCGTCTTTACATCGCGCTCCTTACCGCTGATTACGTTCGATTCGCGTCAAATTTTGTGAGAAGACTAAGAAATGTACAGGCAATCTTATGGTGAAAGAATTCTGAAAATAGGTTGGTAAACAATTGAAATATGAACGTGTAAACACAAAATTGTGACTGCTGCGTTTCCCGCGCGACATGTTACTCTTAGCAGGACTCAAACTGCCATATTTATTATCGGATTAACTAGAAATTCCCCATACATACTCAAACATGTATGTTCTTTCGTATAGTTAAGATCAAAAGACGTGAAGATATCGTTGCGTGATAATGTTTCCGTTGAATTTATTTCATGATGCATTTCCACACGGCTCAAAATTCACCGCAAAATACCATTTGCCTGAGACACTTTTACAATGGAACGTGAATGCTTGACTACAATGACTATGCATTTCCATTCTCGCAGAGTTTGGGATATCACTTATCAGCAATCATTCATTTCAGAAAGTGCACACAAGCAAGCATGTCTTGACTCTGTCTTTCAAGGTCACGCGCGGTTGCGTGATGTTGATGCATGAAAACGGCGTTTGCCGCGAAAGTTATGAATGGCCCACTCCAATTTTTTCACAGATGGTTAGGAACATTGTGACGGACATAATATGTAAAAATTACTCAAATCGAAGGTGGCGTGTTTTTTGCTATTTAAATTTTTTTGTTTTAATTCAAGGTCAAATGCATTTCAAGGTCACTTCAATTTAATTTTATAATAAAAAATCAAAGCCTTATCAATTGCCTACAAGACCCTGTTAATATCATTTTGATAACAGAAAAGGAACCAGAGTTATAAGCATTTAAAAAAATGATGTGTGGCATTTTTGGCTATATTCGATGACCTATATCTCGGCGATACGTTATCAAATTTCGAAAATATTACACGTAACTCAGTTTTGAACCATGCCCAGTCTGCCTACAAATTTTCAGAAAAATCGAAGGGGATGACGGATTTCGGTGTTTGATTTGACGTGGAATGCCCCCGCAGTCCCTCTCGTTACCCACGCCGCGCGTGCTCTCGGGCACTTACCGAAGGGAACGCAATCAGCTGTTAGTTTCCAATCCAGGTTCTCCTTCATCCATGACTGAGTGTTGCCCTCGCCTTCTCGCCGTTCAGATGGTGCTGGAGCTGCTGACTCAGTATCGTCCCTCGTTGTTCAGATGGCTCTGAAGCTGGTGACTGAGTGTCCTCCCCCGCTGCACAGATGGCGCTGGAGCTGGTGACCGAGTCAGCCGACTCTACCTACGGCTGCCTTCTGGTGCACGGCCGGCTGGCGGCGGCCACGCGCAACTGGCACCAGCTGGCCGCGCGCGACCTCTGCCTGCTGGCCATGTACGTTCGCGCGGCCCGGGGCTCGGCCGCCGCCCGGGACGTCTCCGTCTTTCTGCCCGTCAAGAGCCCGCACGTGAGCAACGGGTGGGAGCGGATGGGAAAAGGGATATACAACTCACCGGGGCCCTGTTTCACCGGTGATAGCAGCACGCTGCTATTACACGTGTCAAATTGGGTTTCCATGGAAACATCAACAAACCGTGACGTCATCAATCTGTGTGATGTCATCAAATATTGCTGCTAACATCTTCACGGCCGTGCGATCAAGCATGTGTATCAAACGCATTCAACGAGACAGCAACCCCGTTCCCAGCGCAGCTATGAAAAAGCTCACGGATTACACGAAACGTCATTAGTGTGACGTCATCACATTATGTCAGCTCGCGCAGTTTCATAGCAGCGTGCTGCAGCTATCACCGGTGAAACAGGGCCCGGGATTAGGAGGCGCTGTAGTGCATTCAATCGTACCACTCAATATCTCTACGCCCCGCTGTTCTTTGCAGCTGGTAAAGTAACGGCGAACGGACAGTAGACGCTTTTAGGGCCCTCCCACCCAGGGAATCTCTATTTCTGACGTTCCTGGGCTAAATTTAACAATATTGGCTCAACATGGTCCGGTTGTTGTGTCCGGTTTTATAATTGTCTTAGCGATGACTTTATGCTAAAAATTCAAATATGACAAAAGGCACTTTTTCGAACTGTCGCATGTAAATGTCTGCTTAACTTTACATATTTTCTCGCTCTATTACGTTTAGGCCTGGCCGCCTGGATATGTCTTTTGCCCTTTGATCTGGATTTGCCATTGTCTTAGCTGTGAAATTATTGCTTTTTTCTTGGCTGTGGAGTGTGGATGCTCTGATGACTTTCCCGTATAATGTTTGTCCTTCATATTTCCTTATGACGAAGGATTATCCCTGTTGTGCCGTTACTATTTTTTTTTTACCGTTATCTGGTGTGGCATCTGCTCCTCTTCTGTGTGGTTCCTACCTTTCCCGTAACCTGTTCTTTACTGTTTATTTGATCACGTCCCTGCGGCACGTCATTGCATCGCTGGGAAAACCGCCCACAGGGAAGCCACACAGGCATAATATGCTCACCTTTTGCAAGTATTGCGTCATATAAACGTGCACAGAATGCTAGCGGTCAATTAGTTCTATGTAGAAGTAGGGGTTAAAGCGCATTACAAAGGCACATGATGTTTGCTAATTGGCAGAAACAATGTGTCACGGTATTCTATGTAATATTTATATGCATAATGCAAGCTCGCCAAGCTGTCCACAAAGCAAGATGCACTGTCCAATATCAGTTATTCTGATTGTTTGGCTTATATGCTGAGTGCTACAAACTTGCTAAACCAACTGTCAGGCTGTGTTCCATTTTATTTCATGCTGAGTGCTCAGCTATCAAACCCCAAAACCCTTGTTTACTGCATGTCCAATACCCCCGTGTCCAGACCCCGTCTCGTGTCAATCATAATGTCAACGACGTGCGTCCATGAATGTGTCTGTTGTACTGTCCTAGTGTCTGTATCCGTGTTTGCGTCCGTGTCCGTATAGTCCGTATTCGTATCCGTACCGTAGCTGTGTCGTTGTCGTTATGGGTGTCCGTGTTCGTAATATCAGTGTCCGTCTTCACATCAGTGTCGATGTCAGCGCCCGTGTCCGTGTGTGATCCGGCCCTGACGTGGACACTTCCCCTGCCGTCCAGGTCCCGTTCCGGCTCCTCGTCTGCCGGCTCTCCGAGGTCTCAGAAGTGTGTGTCCTCTGCGGACCGACTCCATCCCTGGAGGAGCTCGAGCGAGAGACGGTGCGCCACTGGGGACCCGTGCTGGAGACAGTGCGCCTCCAGGAGCTGGCGCATCCCCGCGACCTGCCTGCATCGGTGGTGCTCGACCCGGCCCTGCTCAGGTCAGTCCCAGCTGTACCCCGGCCCGCTCAGGCTAGTCCCAGTTATACATTACACAATATACATTAAAGTGTATAGCCGTCATCAACCTGCGAGGTAGCCGGTAGGTATTCGTTTTTCCCCCGACAAAATTATTAATAACTCGAAGACTATGTTATCGGTCACTCGTAAAGCATAACACCAAGATGGACGAGGCTCCGCACCTTAGTTGGGCGTAAAAAATGGAAACATGCATCAAGTGCATTATGTTATTATGCATTTAATTAATTAATACAAGCAGATCAGAAGGGCGGGGCAGCGGGTCTAGGTCGGGGCGGACGCATATCAGGGGCGCCGCCTGGCCGTTGACGCCGTTGTGGCCGTTCTCCTGCTTGGACCGCTTCGCCTCGTCGTCGGCTGACGCATCCGAGGGACGCCGGGCCCGCTGTCGCCGCCGCAGCCGGCACCCGGCGGCGGCCGTCCGTCGTGGACCATCGGTAGTGCGCTGGCCGTCCGGCTCTGCCGCTCCCGTCGGAAAACGGCGTTGTCTCGTTCCACGGCAGCTCGCAGCGGGCCAGGCAGGGCGGCCAGCGCCGACAAGCCGCCCGCCGCCCCCGCCACCGCTGCATCGGTCAGCCGGTACAGCAGCGTGTAGGCTGCCTCGGTGGAGCGGCGCGGCCGGCCCAGCGCGGTGGCCGCCGGCACCGGCACCGCTGACGTATCGTCCAGCCGCCACCAGCCGGTATCGTCCATCCCATCAATACCACCGCCACCGGAGGCGCGACAGAATGAGAAATAGTGGCCAGCGTCCAGCGAATGGCCCGCGTGGACTATCACTGCATACAGCCGGTACTGGGCGGGCGGGCCGGTGGCTAGCGGCACTGTCAGCCACTCGGTGAGCTCCACAGGGGTGAGAACCTTGCGGCGTGCACCGGTGCGCCGGTCAACCGCGAACCTCATCAAGGAGACGACCAGGTTGGCTGGCGGAGAGAGCAGTCGCAGCTGGCGCTCGGCGTCCCGCAGGCCGGTGCACTTGGTACAGTAATACTGGTTATCACCGCACAGTCGTTCCGGCGTCAGGTAGTCGAGCAGCAGCTGCGATACGGTTAGCTCGATCTCTGTCTGGTTGTCCGTCGGTGGCGTGCCCCGCCAACCGACCGGCCGCGGCGCGGGGCCGAACGCCGGCGCAGTTTCGGCTCCCCCGGCGCCCGCGGCAGCTGCCGTCAGTGACCGTGTCACCGACTCCGGCAGAGCCAGGTGCAGTAAAAGGCCGTTGGGCGTGTTATCGTGTTTACATTTTCCATCCAGTCTGGCTGCAATATAATACAAAGGTTTATATTTGGCGTAAAACAAACTTATGCCATTTGTTGGGACACTTGACGTATGATTTAGATAATGATAGGCCCACTTGACAGAGTGGGCCATGGCGCTTCTCTGTTCTATAAATTCCTTTCGAGTTATAACATAGTTATTTCTCTTCGAGTTATTCTATGTTTTGTCAAAAAAAGAATACCTATCACGCAGTGAGAAGAGTGCTGAATCCCGTCTCGGCTGCACCCCACAGGACACCACGGTCTCCTCACTACTCACGGGTCAGCCACGCTGTATGTACCCTGCCCTGCGCTTAGGTCAGTGCTGGTTGTATCCCGTCGTGCTCAGTTCAGCCATGCTGTACCCAGCCCCGCTGTCAGTCCCCCACCTCTTTATATATCGTCCCGCTCAACTCCCTCTCTGCGGCACCCCGACTAGGTCGGTGTCGGACTGACGTCTCCAGTGAGCTGACAAGGCCATCCTCAGCAGTCGTCAGTGGCCAGCCAAGAATGGTCGCTCGTCTGTAAACTGTGATGTTTCTGGAGCGATATATACCGCCCACCTAGGTCACTGCTTATTGCTTAATATAGGAACGGATGTGGTTTGCGAAGTTTGCGAGGCTCGGGACGGTTGGGAGAGTTTTTGTTTTTATGTGGGAAGCACCATGATCCGTCCCTGATGCATATGTAGTTTCTCAGTACTTACGTACTTCTGTATTAGCTCACGAGTCACCACGGGCGCAAATACTTGAAAAGTTAGTGGATTCTTGAGAGGCTGTACCGTGGAGCATATAGAAAGTCGTTTGTAAGCATTGCACGGCTGCATACCAGCTTCAGTGTGCAGATCTCTGCCGTCAAATGTATAACACGATGTCCTAGCATACACATACACAGCCTGCCGCATTGTCGGTCGGTCCCGCTGTCCCAGCCGGTTAGTTTGTTTGTATTTGGCTGACAGGTCACGCCCCGTGCAGAGGCTCGAGCTCTCATCTACGACCTTGGCCGTGTACAGCGTCACGGAACAGTTCCGAATTTACTGTGCTGTGTACCACCGCGGCTCGAACTGTCACAACTGGAGCGTTTGGAGCCGGGCTGTGGGTCTCCGTTGCTGCCCCTCTCGTGCTTGTGCACGTGGCGGAGGGGAGGGAGGGGAAGAGCTGGGATTTCCAGCGGCCTGGCGCCCCGACCTCCCTCGGTGACCCACGCCCCCCCCCCCCGTCTGCGCGCCGGGATGTTTCTGCAGACGGCCACCCGGTCCGGGGAACCACTTTGGGCTGCTGCGCGGTGCGTACTTACCAAGGGAAGAGACGTGACCGGCGCGGTCGGATACCGGGACGCCGTCTCGCGAAACGCCGCCCCGCAGCTCCGCGTCTTGGCGAAATTGAACGGCTCCGGCGATCAATTTTACCGGGGCCCGCAGTCTGCACTCTACAGCCAGATGCTGATATTTGAGATGACATGCTGGATGACATTTTTCGTGCCAAAAGTTCACGCTGGCATGTGCTTCACATTGAATACCCAATGACCTGTGGCCATTGACCATTGTTTATCTCGGAGTTCCAATGTCCAGTACGCCAGGCGTGTCCAGTTTCGATAAGGTTGAGTTGAGTAGTCGCTTGTTAGTGTTGTTACGTCATCTCCGACTTATTGCGTCAAATCAGCTGAATTAAAAGGCCTTGTTAAAGTCATTCTATGTAAATGATTGTGCGTACTGTCTGTCTAAAACCTCTTCTGGTCTCTGGCACTGAACTGTCTAAGTCTCTGATTATATGGAGAGCTAATGGCGATGCGGCAGCCAAGCGGCATTCCAATTGACTCCGCGCATGTGATATGCATGATGCGTGGATATTTGATTGCCATACGGCTCGTGCTTGTCAATACATCAATTTTATCAATTTTATGCCATGGGGCTTCGTAAGTCATACCTAGACCATCATAACATTCTGTTTTTTATGCGGCATAAAGTTGATGTCTGTAGCATGTTTGCAATTATTTAAAACGCCTTATGCGTGGGCAAGGGCGATTCGAATTGTTATTTATCCCGTTGACTTAAGAGAAGAAACAAATTTGACTTTATCATCGGTAAACAGCCACCTCACCAAATGAAAACACTTGCTCTGATGGGGATCCTCCGTCGGATGATGGTGAGTGGTGACCGTCCGGCCGGCCCGGGATCAAGATAGGAGTTTGGTCGTGGAGAGAAGGAAATGTGCGTCCATCGGAGGCTCACAAACCATTCAGCCCATGTAACTAGGGTAAACGTGCATATATGTAATAAATAGTGCGCCTTATCCGTACCTGAGCAGTGTGTTTTGAGCACAGTGTTTTGGGGTGCCCCTGCTGCGTTGTCCGCGGCGCCCCGTTCGGTCCGGTGCAGGATGGGGCGGGGCGGGGAGGGGGACGGCCGCGCGCCCAGCTGCTATAAGGGCGCCGGCGCGCCGCCGGCCGTCAGACCGTCCGCGAGCCCCGCTGTAGTCGCCATGTCCGCCGCGCGCACCCGTCGGCCGCTGGTGTCCCTGCTGGCGCTGCTGGCCGCCGCCAGCCTGGCGGCCGGCTCCCCGGCTCTGAGCCGGCCGCGCCGCTCCAGCTTCGAGACGCTGGCGGGCGGCATCCCGCTGCAGGCGCTGTTCGCCTTCTGCCAGGTGAGCAGCGAGAACGACAACATCGGCCCGTGTCTGGCCGAGCTGCTGCGCGGCGCCATCGACAAGGCGCGGCCCAACTTCCAGACCGGCCTCGACATCGCCCGCGAACATATCGTGCTCGAGCCGCTGAAGCTGGACGACATCGAGCCGAAGGAGGGCAAGAGCGTGCAGACCTCGGTCAGAGACCTCAAGGTGCACGGCATCAGCACGCTCAGCATCAACGACATCACGTTCAGCAGCGACGAGCTGGCGCTGAACCTCTCGTTCGCCAACGTGACGGCCACGGGCCTCGCCAAGATCAGCTACCTTTTCCTGTCGGCCAGTCCGCGCGTGCAGCTGGAGCTGAGCAACCTCACCGTGCTGGTGCGCGCCAACTGGATGCTCGACATCAACCCGGATGACCCGGAGCAGCTGGACATCGTGCTGCACAACGCCACGGCCAAGTTCAAGCTGGCTGACCTCAGCATCTTCCTGGAGGAGCTGGGCAACGTCGGCGCTTTCGTACAGAACATCATCAACGCCAACAGCAAGACACTGGTCAAGTTCCTCGTGCCGGGCCTCGAGCGCAGCATCACTAAGAAGCTGAACAGAAAGCTGAACCGGATCAAGATCGCCGACTAAAGGATGTGCGTGCTGTCCTGTATTCACCGGACGTGTAGCCTCTCAGGGCATGTTGAAACGGCGAAGCGCTCGCCAAGTGTGCGCGTTCGCTCATCGAGTGTCGGTATTAGGGTTGCTGGGGCGAGTGTCGAGCGCAGTTGGTTGCTGCTGTCTCGATATCACGGTATGTGGATTCTGTGCTGCCATGTTCAGTACGAGATTGTCTGATCGGTATTCTCGGGTAGGCAATGACAAGCTTTAATGATTGTGTGTGCGCGCACACTGTTTCTGTATACGAATAGGTATGAGCTGGTTGTGATGCGGGCCATTGTTTTTTTTTTTATCGAGTTGTGACAATACATTGTGATCCATACACGATGCTATTCGGCTGGCACATATGTAATGGTAGGCTATCATTCAGTGATTTACTAACTAGGGTACACCTGGAAGAGGCCGTTGTCATCCACATAATAAGATTCACGAACATTGGCGTACACATGCGTGCGCATTTCCAATTCCATACAATTGTCTTATTAGAGGTCTGGACCCACACTGGACCTCGCATGCGGGTTGCGAGTGCGGGTTTTGAGTTTGCAGGCATAATACTAATTCATAGAGTGGTTAGACCGTTCCTCTATGGAAACTTCATGAATGCAGTGAAGCCGGTACACCCTCAGAAAATTACACATAGTCGCAATACCAGCGCAACGAACCTAAATTCGACTCCAACGATCCCCGCAAACCTCGCAGAACTCGCAGCGAGGAAAATCGAAAGTTGACTCCAAATCAACTTTTGGAATGCGATGCAAGGTGGCTCGCAAGCTAAAAACATGCAGACTCGCTTGTTAGATGGTAGTGTGGGTCACTCAGCTTATATTATATTATTTGACTTTGAAGAAACCCGAAAACCCAAAAACTCGCAACCGGCATGCGAGGTCCAGTGTCAGCGTGGGGCGGCCTTGCAGCGGTGGCAGCAGGACGCATGCAGCGATCCCGCTGCATGGTCATCAGAAGACTTTTTGCTTGAAAAAAAATGTGCCTTCGAGTAGAATATCCAAGCCCTTAACCCTCGCCCGCACATGCCATTTTCCCATCCTAGAACGCACATGGGGGGGGGGGGGTGGTTGCCACCCCCCGCGCCATTTCGTTCCTGTTGGAGATAGAGCTTAGCAGTAAAAACCAAAAAGATTCTTTGGGAAGAGACGAATCCAATGATGCCCAGTTTTACCTTCTCAGGTCAGTCATTGACCTTCCAGGTCAGGTCAAACTAAAAAATGTTGCTGTTTTGGGTCACCGTTGAATATCAAGTGCGCTGCTTATCAAATACCGATGACGATGCTGTTTTCTGGTGCCAAGCCAGCTAGAACCTCTTTGTCACACTATCCGACCAGAATTTTGCTGCTGAGGTCATTTCAGGTCAAGTTAGGTCAAGGTCAATGATATGTGTTTGTATGTCTGTGTGTGTCTGTGTGTATACTGATGTGTGCACCGATTGTTTTTGGGTTCATATCACATGAAATCATGATCTGAGAAGCTTTTACCAAAAATGCAGTCAAAAAACTTCACAAAAAGTAAATTCAGCTTGCCTAAAACGCAATTATCTTAGATGACCTAGGTTGACCTTGACCCTGACCTTGACCCCTGTACATCGTCGAACAACATGTTCCATGATAGGTGGGAGGTAAGACTGGCAAAAAAGGCCGAAATCAGGGTGTCAAAAGCTCACAAGGCCCATGGCAAACGCAAAATGTTGAGAATTGGCCATTTGGGTCATGATATGACCTGAAAAACAAGGTCATATCTCCGAAACCAAAAATCACAGAAACTCGAAATTTTCTGTGGACATCAAGAAAGAATAGACGAGCAGCTATACAAAAAATTAGCCTTCTAGCTTTAAAAATGTTGAGTGCAGAGCAGAAAGACTGCCTGGGGGGGGGTGTGGCAACCACCCCCCCCCCCCCCCATGTGCGGGCGAGGGTTAACTATCGAAGAACATGTATATTGGTGCGTCGGAACCTGAATCATCGCCTTCTCCAAATAACTAGTTAGGGCTAAGCTGACAGCCTGCGTTAGGACCAGCGCGGTCCATCAGAGACGACGCTCAGCTGGTCGGTGGCTGGTGATCGGACTCATGTGTAAACTCGCCGGCACTGCTCCGACTCCGCTCCCGCCTCCCCGACTCTCCGGCCCTGCTCCGACTCCGCTCCCCGACTCTCTGGCCCTACTCCCACTCCGCTCCCCGACTCTCCGGCACGCTCCCGACCCCAGCCCTCCGGCGGACCGCGCGTCACTGGGTTTTCCGTTCCGCACGAGTACGCGCATGGCTCATCTGTTTGGCTGCTGGTGACGCCATGTTACACGTGGGTCGTATACACACACGGTCTTACGACATTTCCCAGGCTAAGGCAGATATACGCCAGGAATTGGATGGTTGTGTATGTTAATAACAACGGTGGGTGTTTGCTTAATGTGACCGCTAAATAACACTAGCCCCGCTCCGAACTGCAGTGCATTGCACGAGCTGAACACCGTACGACGCGCACGGCAATGCCATACATTGGGGCCGCACTCTACCAGCAGCTAAAGCTGAGCTGAGTGAGCATGGCTGAGCAAAAGATCCGAGATGCCAAGTCTTCGTCGCTCAGGCTTCAGTCATATCAAAACAACATGAGTAGGTCGTCCACAAAAGTAGGGCGTTGTTTGGTGTGGAGGAGCGCTGTTTGTTGTTTTTGAACGCTGTTTGTGATGGTGTGTTTGCTTTGCTGTGCTTTGGACACTGTTTCTTTTGCTGCAGACGCCGTTACATTTCTCTGTGGCTCATGCAGTCTATGGTGGGGATGGGGCTGGTCTTGTACTGGAGTGCCGAGTGCGACCGTGCTGGCTTGACCTTTTACCCATGGCCTCTGACTTGACCTCCGTCGTCCTTGCAGTGTGGATGGTGCCGTTGACATCTGACCTTACTTGCGGCCTCTTCTTCCCTATGGCCCACCCTTACTTGTGACCTACCCTACCTGTGACCTGCCCTTACCTAACCTTACCCGACTTGGTTTCTTGTGGCAGCCCTTATCTGACATTTGACCTGTCCTCTGGTCTGACCTGACCCCTGATCTGATCTCTGCCGCAGTGTTCTGGTGGAGAGCGATGCCATCCAGCGCTGTGTGGCCTCCTGTAGCCCCCACGGCGGAGTCCCCGAGAGGCCCGCCGCCGCCCCCGCCCCCGCTCCCGCTGCCGCCGCCGCCGCCATCGAGAGCCGCCGCCGCCAGCTGCGGGCCTTCTACCGAATGTCTGCCAGTCAGCTGCATCCAGGCCGATTCGACGGCTCAGCGCCAGGTGAGTACTGTATTCGCTGCTCCGAGCATGCCTCCCGTGACCTGTGTCTCCTTGTCATCGGTGGCCAGTCATCGCGGTGTGTTGGTGCCGGCGCTCCTTCGGTCCAATAGCGTCCGTTCATTTGGTCAAATAGGTAGTGCCTGTTGTCCCGATCTAATAGTGCCCATTGTCCCGATCCAATAGTGCCCGTTGTACCGGACCAATAGTGACAGTTGTCGCGGTGTCCAATAGTGCGCGTTATCCCGGACCAATGTATTGGGGCCGGCCCGCCGTTTGTCCCGGCCGGTCTCCTGGTGTCATTTGTACGGGCTCATTAGTGTTGGTAGTGCCGGTCCATCGTTACGGATCGGTGCCGGCTGTCCCAGCACTCTTTCAGTGCTGCCCGCCTGGTCATTTGTTGTTGGTTGTTCCCCTGTCTGTCTCCCTTGTCCCCCTCCGTCGGTCGTTTGGCACCGGTGTCGAATGGCGCAACTGGTGGGCCGTTCCGCCGCCCGGAAACCCCGTGCCGGCTGCAGACTGCAGAACGACGGCGGCCGGCTACGACAGGAAAGCCCACCGATGGTGGCAGGGCGCTTCGGGGAACACTGCGACTCTGCCGGACAGCCGAACGCAGCCCCCCGGGCCAGGAGATAGGCATGGGCACGAGTCTCGTACGTGATTGAATGCCAGAATGGACGCTATTGTTCTGATGTTTGGATTCGTTGTAGAGACGAATATGGGAAAACATGGGGAAACTGGTATTGCTCATAAATGATTATAAATGTGTGGAATCGTTTCGAACCAGAGACTGTAAGTCGGACTTCCTTTCGTATATTTTCTTAAAGCCGATGATCGCGGTAAACGCGCAGAGGGCCTGGGGTCGCTCATTGATTTCGACTGTAGTGGACTCGTGACTCATCTTTTCGGTCACCTGCCCTGCCCTTCCCCTGTCCGGTCCGTGTGAGAACTCAACAGACGGATACCGGGGCAGCTGCCAGCCCGACGTCGGGATGGGGATGAGGCACCTCAGTCAGGTCAAGGAAGAGACACCCTCTTAGATAGATGTGGGGAGGGACTCGATCCAATGCACTGGACACAGACTTGAAATCCGGATCACGGCTAGCGCTATACCTACTGCGTAAACATCCAATGGGCAGCTCAGCTTCGTGATGGGCGTGAGACGCGATGTTGGAAACACTATGTTTTGGGGCCTCCGGAAAACTAGGCGTTCGAAAGCCGCTGGGCGTCCACGCTTTAGGAGTCTACAGTATACCGTGCTCTGTCCGCCAGCTCCTTGACTCACATCCCCCCGCATGAGTTCTGCATGACTCGCATTCCAGAAATAATCAAGCCACTCCCTTGCCGTGTTTCCCGCACTCCGTCTACGTTGGCCACCAGTCTCTGTATGTGTATGTTTCTGTGCTCGCTGCATGGCATCTGGTGACCTTTGTCTGCCATGCCGCCAGTGTCAGCAGACGGCGGAGGCGGCAGCGACGGCGCGCAGGCCACGGAGACCTACTCGATATCAGACGACCACTGCTGCTACGGCCTGCGCTCGGGACCCAACTCCGTCTACGCACTGTTCGTCAAGGACACGCCGCCCCATGTGATGAGGTACGGGAAAGGGCGGGATGGGAGCAGCGGGCGGTATTGGGACGCAGTGGGGTGAGATGGGGTAGAGGCAGTGGGGCGAGGTGGGACTAGATGGGTGTGGGAAACGGTTAGGGCTTTGAGACACTACAAATAAAAACAAATAAATAATATATTCAGGCTTTCATGGCAAAAGGGTCATCTGGCAGCGTGCCAACAGCGAAAACGATATGGTAAGGCAAAGTTGTTTAGGTGAACAATTGGTGGTAGGAACGGACAAATAAGACAGCGGCATAGCGGAGAAATGCGGACCGTAGATAGAAGTAGTAGCGGTGTAGTAACGTAGAACGTAGAATGTAGAATGTAGGTAGAATGTAGAATGTAGGTTTCTGAAATCAGCCAGAAACGCATTTTCACTCTCTATCCGATAGACATGGGTCTACCTATCGCCGAAATATCTCTAATATCATATCAGGCTCATATCACATTAACAATGCAATAGAAACGGCAAATAATATAAAATAATGAAAGAACATACCAAAGTTTTTCCACCGAATCACATTGTGGCGAACGGCGGCGCACAAACTCCATGCGTCTCACGCCGGCGCCACACAGCCAAAAAAACGCCACGTCGATGGGCGGCGCACTGGACTTTCTGCGCCACCACTGGCTTAGGGTGGCGCCACCATCCAACGGTCAGTACGAACATCGTCGCCACCTGTGTCCACAACTAGCGCCACCTGTCGAGCAAGGCACAGGCCAACCCGCTCCGGCTCAGTCCGCTACATCCTCCCCCCGGTGTCGTAATGACACCTCGTTGAGCGGGGATAACGGAAGCCTGAACACAAAACCTCTTCGGTACGTTGCCCACTCAACAGCCACAGCCGCGCGCACACATATACAGCGTTCATCCTGAAGACACCACGCCTCGCATGGTATCGGCTTCGCTGCCGAAGTCACAGCTCCGGAGAGCAGCAGTCATCTCCGCCGCCCACTGCCACCAGCTCCGTGCGGCAGGCGAGCTCCCGCAGTACTAGCTCCGGAGAACCACCAGCTCGCCGCAGCCTCGGAGAGCACCAGCTCGCCGCGGCCGACGAGCGTCTCCGCCACAGCTCCAGAGAACACCAGCTCGCCGCGGCCTCGGAGAGCACCAGCTCGCCGCAGCCGACGAGCGCACCAGCTCGCCGCAGCCTCGGATAGCACCAGCTCGCCGCGGCCGACGATCGCACCAGCTCGCCGCAGCCTCGGAGAGCACCAGCTCGCCGCGGCCTCGGAGAGCACCAGCTCGCCGCAGCCGACGAGCGCACCAGCTCGCCGCAGCCTCGGAGAGCACCAGCTCGCCGCAGCCTCGGAGAGCACCAGCTCGCCGCGGCCGACGATCGCACCAGCTCGCCGCAGCCTCGGAGAACACCAGCTCGCCGCAGCCTCGGAGAGCACCAGCTCGCTGCAGCCGACGAGCGCACCAGCTCGCCGCAGCCTCGGAGAGCACCAGCTCGCCGCAGCCGACGAGCGCACCAGCTCGCCGCAGCCGACGAGAGCACCAGCTCGCCGCAGCCGACGAGCGCACCAGCTCGCCGCAGCCTCGGAGAGCACCAGCTCGCCGCCGCCGATGAGCGTCCCCGGACGCAGCTTCGGAGGACTCCAGCTCGCCTCAGCCGACGAGCACCTCCGCCGCAGCTAGCCGCCATCAGGAGGGATCTGTTAGGAAGAAACAAAAGGAAAACATAGGATACTTGGGATATACGTGATAGGACAACACTGTCGTCACCAACATAACAGCCATCCTTCAACTCAGCTCTGACACAGAACAGTTCTGAGCTTATTCAGCCTCCTCCAGGAGGCACACTTTGCTGACCGGGCGCCGGTACCTGCCTCCCCCCGCTGCCATCAGTTCCACGGTACGAACTACTCCGTCCGAGCCCGGGAACACTCTTGCAACTCGGGCCAGGGGCCAGAACCCGCGTGGCGAGTCTGCCTCAATCATCAGCACGACGTCTTCAACTTTGAGATTTCTTCTCTCGCACAACCACTTCTGCCGACTGGCTAGTGTTGGTACATATTCATTTCGCCATCTCTTCCAAAAATGTTCTGCCAGTACTTGTGACTGACGCCAACGTCGTTTGCTGCTGATCTCTCTGTCTTGAAATATGCCAGGAGACATGTTGGCGCTGGCACACCCGAGCAGAAGGTGATTTGGCGTCAGTGGCTCAACATCCGTACTGTCAGGACTGACGTGTGTCAGCGGCCGTCCATTGACCATTGACTCCACCTCGAGCAGCGCAGTGTGGAGTACCTCATCGGTCACACACTGAGATCCGATAGTCACTCTGAGCGCGCGCTTTACGCTGCCCACCAGCCTTTCCCATACGCCGCCCATGTGGCTGGCGCTGGGAGGCATGAAAGTCCACTTAATGTTCTCCTGACTCAGTTCGTCAGTAATGCGAGTTTGGTCGAGTTCATGTAGAGACTCACGGAGCTCACGTTCACCTCCGACGAGGTTCGTCCCATTGTCGGAGTACATTGAGTCTGGCTTCCCTCTCCTTGCCATGAATCTCCTCAGTGCCATGACGAAACTGTCCGTATCTAAAGCGTTTGCTACCTCCAGGTGTACTGCGCGGGTCGAGAAGCAGGTGAACAAGACGCCGTATCTCTTCTCGGTCCTCCTGTACTTCTTCACGAACATTGGCCCGAAGTAGTCGACTCCTACCGTGCTGAAGGCTCTGGACGTGTCATACCGGCTGGCCGGCAGCTCTGCCATTCTTGGGACCTGCGCGATCGCTCTTCGTCTTTTGCACACGGTACACTCGTGTAGGATCCTCCGGACTGTCGAGCGGGCCTTCAGAATCCAATATGTCTTCCTGACTTCTGTCAACGTTCTTTCTTGTCCTGAGTGAAGAACCTTCACATGGCAGTGCGTCACTACCAGGCGAGTAACGTCGTCTCTCGATGGCAGGATCACCGGGTGGCGAGTCGAATAGGCCACGGGCGCTTTGTCGATACGCCCACCGACTCTCATCACACCCTCACCATCCAGGAAAGGTGTCACTTGTCGCAGTTTCCCTTCAGTCTTCACTTCTTTGCCAGCTTGGATCTCTGCCAGTTCTTCAGCGAAGCATCTAGCTTGACAGTCTTTCAGTACCTTCGTCTCTGCTTGCTTCAGTTCCTCTGCTGACAGAGGTCCTGCGCGTCTCCAGTCTGCTCGTTCCTGACAGGACTTTGGGGCACAGTTCTTCACAAACCTCAGTACCCATGCCACGGTTCTTCTGTACTTCGTCCACGAAGAGAATCTCGAAGCGTCGGGAAGCACCGTAGTATCAGAGTCATGCTTCACAGTGAGCATGACTGATTCCGTCCTCACTTCTGGGTCGTTTTTCAGTACAGCCGTACTCGTGAGAGATGGCTGTTCCGGCCAGCAGTTCTCCTCCTGGAGCAGGAACCCAGGACCCGCGCTCCAGCGAGAATCTGATGACAGGTCAGACAACGTAGCTCCCCTGGAAACAACGTCAGCTGCGTTCAGACTCGACGGCACGTGTCGCCACTGATCAGGGCAAGAAGACTCTCGAATTTCTGCCACCCTATTAGCGACAAATGTGTGAAAGCGGCGGCTGTCATTTTCCACATACTGCAGAACAACTGTGCTGTCGGTCCAGAATAGGACCCTATCCACCCTGACCGACAGCTCCGTCCGTAGCACGTTTGCTACTCTGACGCCCAGCACAGCTGCTTGCAACTCCAGCCTTACAATTGAGATCTGCTTGAGGGGTGCCACCCTGGTCTTCGCCATAGCCAAGGAGCAGACGCGGCGACCATCAGGCATCGTCGTAGCGACGTACGCGGCAGCACCGAAGGCATCCTGAGAAGCATCACAGAAGATGTGAAGCTCTCTCCGACAGCTGTCACTTGCCGACACGCCTCCGAAGCATCGCGGGACGGTTACCCGCTCCAGATAGTGTAACTCCGAGAGCCACTGAGACCACCTCTGCAGCTCCGTCCCCTCGAGCTCATCGTCCCAGTCGTAGTTCCCCGCCCAGAGGCGTTGAATGAGAACTTTAGCCTGGAGAGAGAACGGAGCGACTAGCCCCAGAGGGTCGAATAGTCGAGCTACTCCTTGCACTACTCCTCTCTTCGTTGACGGTACACGTGAGTCAACAGCTCTGACTCCCAAGGTGTCGTTGATGGTGTTCCAGGCGCAGCCTAGCACACTCTGAACCGCGACATCGATGTCTTGAACGCGCTCTGCGGCTTCGATCCGTTCCAAGACCTTCCGCGAGCTGCTCATCCACTTTGTCAGCCTGAACCCCCCTCTTCTGAGAAGTTCTGTCACCTCGGTTTGCATCTCAGCTGCCTCTTCTTCGGTTCTCGTAGCGTGGACGAAGTCATCCATATAGAAACTTGTAAGTGCCGCTTCTCTAGCTGCTCTCCCTGCCGGGGTGCTACTGCTGCAGTCCTTAGCGGTCTGCTGCAGGACGAAGTTTGCTGATGCGGGACTGCTTCTGGCCCCGAAGATCGCGACCTGCATGGTGTATGGTTCTGGTTGCTTCGTTGCATCCAAATCTCTCCAGAGGAACCTCAGTGCTGGTTGATCTTGCGGAGTTATCTGGACCTGGTGGTACATACACTCGATATCAGCGGTCAGAGCGACGGGTTCCTCTCTGAACCTCAGGAGGATGCCGGGCAGATTCTTAAGAAGGTCAGGTCCCGTGAGCAGCACATCATTCAGAGAAGTGTTGCCACACTTCGCAGCCGCATCAAACACTACTCTGAGCTTCCCGGGCTTCCGGGGGTTCGTTACACCATGATGTGGCAGGTACCACTTCCTTGGGTGTGCTTCTTGATCTTCTTCTGGGGTTAGCTTGCGAGCGAATCCGCGCTCGACGTACCCCTCGACAACCTTCTTATAAGCTTCTGCTTTCTCAGATTGTCGCATCAGGGTCTTCTCCAGGGAGTACAGCCGGTTGGCCGCCATCATCTTGTTATCAGGTAGGCACACATCATCACTCATCCACAGGAGTCCCGTCTCGTAGCGATTGTCCAGTCTCCTGGTTGTGTCTTCCATGATCTTCACGGCTCTGACGTCTTGGGGAGATTTGGCATCCTGGCCTTCAAACCTGCTCCCAAACGATTCCGTGCTCCACCACTCCTGGAGTGCTGCTGACAGTTGATCGTCTGGAGCCATCTTCCTGATCAGCATCACCTGGCGCGTTCGTTCTGGCAGGAATCCCTTCACCGTGCCCGTCAGCGTCCACCCGAAGACGGTTCTGATGGCCACCGGTTGGCCCGCCTTCCCTGTCCTCGCTTCCAGCTGAAGCACCGCTTCAAGGACGTTGGCGCCGAGAAGAAGATCGACCCTCTTCCCTGAGCAGTCTGGAAGGTCGAGGTCCAGCAGGTGCTTCCATTCGATCCTCTTGTCAGGGAGCTCTGGAACCGTGACGTTGATGTCCCTGACGGAGAAAACTTCAGGGACCACTATTCTTGATCCGTCGCCACCTGACGCCTTGAGCTCCAGTTTCATCTTCACGGAGTTCTGGAGGCGCCCGCATCCTTCCACGTTTTGCAGGCGGAGGGTTTGTGGCTCCCCTTGAAGATTCAGCTGCGTCATTACCTCTTCGGACACCAGTGAAGTCTGAGAACCAGGGTCTAGTAGAGCCCAGACCTGCTTTTCCTTGCCACCACTGGCAAGGACGGTGACTGGTACGACCTGCAGCAGGGTTGTGGTCGCGCCCGCCTTCACTGATGCTGCTGCTACCACGCGCTGGCCAGTGTTCCTGAGGTCGACCCTCTTGCTGCCATGGAGCACCTGATGATGTCTCATCTTGCAGCTGTCGATGCCGCACGGCCTTGCCGAGCGACAGTGCCGAACGCCATGTCCAGCCTTCAGACAGAAGAAACAGCACCTCGCACTGGCGATGAAGTGGGCTCTTTCATCAACCGATTTCTTCAAGAAGATCGGACACGTTGTCACCTCATGCTGCTCCTTGCAGCATACACAAGTCGTGCCTGATGTATCAATCTCTGTGGCCAGAGCACTTCTTTGGACGGGCCTCAGCTTCACGTCGCCCTTCCACCGCTGAGGCTGTCCTGCCGGCTTCTTGCCAGTCGCCATATTCTGCTGTGGAGACACGGCAGCGTAGTTGAGGGCCACCCTGACCTGCCTGCGAAGCCATTCGTCAAAGTGCACCAGTGTCGGCCTCTCTCCCAGGTTCAAGACATATTCTCCCCATAGACGTTTCATCTCAGATGGGAGCCTTTGAACAACTCGTCTGAGGTTCTCGAAACTATTCAGATCCCCATCGTAGCCGAGACTCCTGAATATCATGACAGCACAGTGGACTGATGCGTGCAGGCGCTCTAGTCCAACCGGATCTAGTTGGGAGGGCGCAGGGCAGGAGAAGATCTCTTGCAGGTACGCGTGTACGACATCTTCCTGGCGGCCAAACCTGTCCTGCAGAGCACGCACCGCCTCTTCATATAGGGCCCCATCAAACATCATCCCACTGATGGTGAGCTTAGCAGTACCCACCACTGATGCTTGCAGGTGTATCAGTTTTTCTGTTGGGGAGAGTGAGATCTGTTCATGTACTAAAACTTTAAAAGAAGCCCACCACTTCGGCCACTCGGCCGGCTCGCCGCCGAACTTCGGCAGAGTCAAGCGCGGAAGACTATTGTGCAGCAGCGATGAAACACAGGGCGCCCCTTGGGCGACTGCATCACTGGCTGTGGGTCGAAACTGACCGGCTAGTTCAGTAGTGGGTGCTCGGGCAGCTCCAACAGCCGGTGGGGGAACATGACTGTAATAAAACAAATCAGCTGTGTCGGCGCCGAGTGCCCCTTGGGCAGCTCCAACGGCCGGTGAGATGGTGTGGCTGGGACGTGACGAACCGGCTTCTTCAACAGTGGCTACCCCTTGGACAGCTCCAACGGCCGGTGAGATGGTGTGGCTGGGACGAGACGGACCGGCTACTTCAACAGTGGCTGCCCCTTGGACAGCTCCAACGGCCGGTGAGATGGTGTGGCTGGGACGAGACGGACCGGCTACTTCAACAGTGGCTGCCCCTTGGACAGCTCGTGCAGCTGGTGGGATGGCTCGGCTGAGATGAGTCGAACCAGCTTCTTCACTAGGTGCCCCTTGGGCTTCACAGACCTTGGTCTCACCACAGAAATCATTTCTCCGGTCCCACGCTAGGTCATCTTCAGCTGCTCTTGCCAACTGTGCACGCAGCTCGGCAGCTGCATGAGCATCCTTTGCTTCTTGTAGCTTCATCTTCCTCTGGATCTGTTGCTCTTCCTTCTCCGTCTCAAGCCTTTTCTGCAGCTGCTCCAGCTCTAGCTGCTTCACCTTGGCCTCTATCTCTGCCAGCCGGGATGCTGACGTCTTGTCTGATGCTGCAGAGTCTGACGCCTGCTTTGATGCAACTGATGGTGGATCATCCTTCCTCTCCTTCAAATGCACTTCAATCCGGGTCACCGCTTCTTCATGCTGCCTGTCTGCTTCTGCTTGATACACTCTTGCCTGATCAACTTCCTCTTGAGATGTCAGCACAGAAACTAAACTATCTGTCATCTCCTCCAACTGCTCGAGTGCCTGATCAAGCTCATGGACGATTGACGCTAGCTGAGTCCGACTACCTCTGGTATCAATCAAGACGAAAGCCCTCCTCCTGACCCTGGTCAGTGCAGCTAACAATCTGCCTCGCTTCTGTTTCAATTGTGCTACAGACATGTTCTGGATTTAACAGCACAACGCCAATCAGGAACTGAGTCACAATTGCAATTCTCAGCAGCAAGTACAAAACTTCTCGCCACAAGAAACTGTCATTAACACGACCTACACCCTGAGAAGCCTCTTCGGGCGATCAAGACAGAATCTTCAAATGAGATACACTCATAACAACAGCATCATGTTCGGAAAGTCCTTTGGCATTCTGACAAACTTTTGCATAGACCTACAACCATATCACTAGGCTGTGGAAACTTTGAAACTGTTGTGGGAAACGGTTAGGGCTTTGAGACACTACAAATAAAAACAAATAAATAATATATTCAGGCTTTCATGGCAAAAGGGTCATCTGGCAGCGTGCCAACAGCGAAAACGATATGGTAAGGCAAAGTTGTTTAGGTGAACAATTGGTGGTAGGAACGGACAAATAAGACAGCGGCATAGCGGAGAAATGCGGACCGTAGATAGAAGTAGTAGCGGTGTAGTAACGTAGAACGTAGAATGTAGAATGTAGGTAGAATGTAGAATGTAGGTTTCTGAAATCAGCCAGAAACGCATTTTCACTCTCTATCCGATAGACATGGGTCTACCTATCGCCGAAATATCTCTAATATCATATCAGGCTCATATCACATTAACAATGCAATAGAAACGGCAAATAATATAAAATAATGAAAGAACATACCAAAGTTTTTCCACCGAATCACATTGTGGCGAACGGCGGCGCACAAACTCCATGCGTCTCACGCCGGCGCCACACAGCCAAAAAAACGCCACGTCGATGGGCGGCGCACTGGACTTTCTGCGCCACCACTGGCTTAGGGTGGCGCCACCATCCAACGGTCAGTACGAACATCGTCGCCACCTGTGTCCACAACTAGCGCCACCTGTCGAGCAAGGCACAGGCCAACCCGCTCCGGCTCAGTCCGCTACAATGGGCGACAAGGGACAGGGTCTGGGGCGAAGCTGTATTGCTGTGTTTCTTATCCTGCTTGTCTTATAGACCCCTGTCTTATAAATTTTATCTTATAAACCCCCTGTGTGACCGACAGGGGAGTGACTCAGAACACATTGCAACAGCTGACTTCCATCAAACAAGTCCGCTTCTGAGGTCCGCTGCGTCCATGGCATGAACAAATGACGCCACTGTCTTCCGTCCTCCAAACGACTGTGATATACATTCCGTCCTTCCTGCTACTCATTCAGCATCTTCACAAAGTGAAGCGCTCAAATCGGCGTTCGTGGGCGTCCGTGTGATTGTGCGCTGAGAGGTGACGCATTCCGCGTCTGGGGCGTTCCACGACAAATCGACAAATAAAAAATTAAATTTGCACCCTCATATTTTATTATTCGTTGAAAACTGGTGTAAGGGGTTGTGATGGGCGGGGAAGCCAGCTGTGGCAAGGATTTTTTTCTTCGAACAACAGTTTCCGAGATATAGCCTCGGGCAATTCCTGGAGTTCGCGCTGCAGCCCTATGTTTGGCGGCCTATAACTCAGAAACTATTGATTTTTTACGATAAAAACTTTATATGGTTCAACTCACAATCAACCAACAAACATTTTGGCTATCTCGGATTTTCAATTGTTGAAAATTTTGATCACGTGACCTTTTGTCCTATTTTTCGAAGAGTGACCTTGATATTTTCCCCACTGAATGTTGCAATTTTGTCTGATGACGATTAAAGCCTTATCAATTGTCATTCATATGCGATAATAAAAAAGTGGTTATCGCCCTGCATTGACCTCAGGTCAGGTCATTTTTATTACCTGTCCATTATTACGAGCGGGAGCGACAGCGAGATCTCGAGAATAAAGCAAGATAGCGACAAGCGGTAAACGGTAAAAGGTACACACGGATAAGGTCTATAATTTTTACTGAGGTCATTTTCAGGTCAGGTCAAAGATGACGTCACAGGAGCTAAAAGGTAGTCAAAATAGCGGCACTATACATATACATGAAGTTTTTCTCGAATAACTTTCAAGGTATCCCAGCTAGGAACAAACTAATAGCACCATCGTGATCCTCTCGTCGATCCGCATCGAAACATATGTATGTTGACCTCAAAAGGTCGAAAGGTTTAAAGTTGACCTTAGATCGTGACCTAGGGTCAACTTTTGACCTTTCGACCTTTCGAGGTCAACATACATATGTTTCGATGCGGATCGACGAGAGGATCCCGATGGTGCTATTAGTTTGTTCCTAGCTGGGATACATTGAAAGTTATTCGAGAAAAACTTCATATATATGTATAGTGCCGCTATTTTGACTTCCTTATAGCTCCTGTGACGTCATCTTTGACCTGACCTGAAAATGACCTCAGTAAAAATTATAGACCTTATCCGTGTGTACCATTTACCGTTTACCGCTTGTCGCTATCTTGCTTTATTCTCGAGACCTCGCTGTCGCTCCCGCTCGTAATAATGGACAGGTCATAAAAATGACCTGACCTGAGGTCAACGCAGGGCGATAACCACTTTTTTTATTATCGCATATGAATGACAATTGATAAGGCTTTAATGGTCATCAGACAAAATTGCGACTTTCAGTGGGGAAAATATCAAGGTCACTCTTTGAAAAATAGGACAAAAGGTCACGTGATCAAAATTTTCAAAAATTGAAAATCCGAGATAGCCAAAATGTTTGTTGGTTGATTGTGAGTTGAGCCATATGAAGTTTTATCGTGAAAAAAAAACTAATAGTTTCTGAGTTATAGGCCGCCAAACATAGGGCTGCAGCGCAAACTCCAAGAATTGCCCGAGGCTATATCTCGGAAACCGTTGTTCGAAGAAAAAAATCCTTGCCACAGCTGGCTTCCCCACCCATCACAACCCATTAGACCAATTTTAAGCAAAAAATAAAATATGAGGGTGCAGGGCACTTGTCGATTTGTCGTGGTCTGTTGATGGCAGGCCTGTGCGCGTTTGTCGTCGTCCGGAGCTCTCCCCGGAGTGTCTGTTTCGGTCTGAGCCGGAACGTCGTCCGGTCCCCGCCAGAGCACCGGATGTGCTTCCTATGTGTGGTCACCGGTCGGGCCCGGAAGCGACCCAAGATAGCCAGAATCGGCTGCAGACGAGACGGGCATCGCAGTGTGAACCGCTTCTGAGACAACGCTCGATTTTTTTGTACAATTACATAGTTGTGGGACCCTACGTCGTACTTGGAATGGGGCTACCCAGCGGCGGGCCCCGGGCCCCCGGTGCCGGAGAGGGGAATATGAGGGGCGGGTGGGGGAGGGAGGATGCGACTAGCCAAACACCGCGCCTTGGCTGTGTATTTACGCCATCTGCTCCGATGTGCGCATTTGGCGCAGGGTTGGACGTGCTATGGGCGGGTTGTCCGACGCTCGTCCCAAACGGTTTCCAGAACCGGTCGACGGACCGCGAAATCTCCGGTGAATACTCAATGGCTACTCTGACGGTAAAACCGGTTTTCTGCCCATTCATTAGAATTCTGCGCTACTCAGATTACGAGCGCAGTTGGCCGGCCGTAGTCGAGCCGAGCGAAGGGCGAACGGGTGTCTGTGTTACGCTAGTAGACCTTGTTTTGATTGGGGTTTTTACGTGAATGCTGCCATTCAAATGTCCGTTTCGGTGGCGCTCATGGCCCAGCAAGAAGTATAATGTCAAGTGTCGGCAGTGTCCACTCTGATGTGTCTTCCGATTGTAGCGTCTACTATTTCCCATGTTATGTGATGAATTAAAAGCAGGAAGCGTTTGTCTTCCATATTTTCTCCTGTGTTGTTTGAATGACTCGTTAGTTGGTAAACCCTTCTGCTGAGTGGAGCCCAGTATTCGCACAAAGCACCACAGCCTTATGGCTGAATGTTGATATCAGTTGCACCCCGAGGCCTTAGCCGTCCCATTAACCACCATTCCCACCATGGCGAACTATCACATCTTCTACCCAAGGTAGACATCCGCATTCTGGACTGTTCCCCTCCCTCAGTGCATTTGCAATCCATAACACGGCCTGTCTGTCGCAGCCAGGGGTTCCCCTCTCCAGTCCCTTCCGCCATCCCTCGCTGATTAGCTGTGCTTTCCAGTACGGTGACGGCATGTTTATACGCCATGGCTTACGCGATCATTGCTTATACATACCTACTGCAATCCTATAAATAAGCGTACACTCTCTGCAGGGGATAGGGGGCCATACCAGGCGGCGAATGGCGAAAGTTGTGGGCGATCTGTAGTTTGCCCCCGCAATCACCGGCGGTGACAACACTCCGCTCTCACAAGCCGAATATACACGAGATGAACACATTCACGACGTAGCTATATTCCGACCGGCAGGGTCGCAGCTCCATACTGTATAAAATAGCCGTCTCGACTGACCCTCCCTCCCCATAGACAAAACACGAACACCACCGCAGCGGTAAGGTGAAGTGAAATAATCACACCACTTGAACCTGTCCTCGCAGCAAATAAGCACAGTTCTCGGAAAAGCCGGGAAGACAGACAGTCGGAATAGACGTTCACTCAGTGGAGGTCTTATCATTCAGTTGATACGTTATTCAGCGTCTCAGGTAATGTAAATGCATAGCGCGGGTTACCCGCCGTGCGCAGCTAAAGCAAAGGCAGCAGGACCGCCCGGCCCGTGAAGAGCGAACGCTGAATTCGATGATGACTACAGAGTCAAGTCAGCAACTTTGGGCGCTCATTAGGGTACACGGTCTATACAATACGTAACACACAACTTACACAGCGCAATACTCGCCAAATAACCACACACAGTAAGATTCACTGCCACTGCGACAGCGCGGAATGGCGAATCTTGGCGGCGCTCGGCAGACGCCAACAGTAAAACGAGCGAAAAAAGACGAAACGCATCACGAAATATAATGGTCAAACGCAGAGCAAAGTGTAGCGGCACAAAGCAGCCCACCTGCAAAATAAGCAACACGACGCCAGTCCACTTGCAAAATAACGGACTTGCCACTCGGCGTTACGCCGGTATTAATCATACACAATCTCGCGCAGTTTCAGGCAGTTCATGCGTTCAATGTCAATCTCCTCAGAGACAACACTCCAGCCGAGGCAGGGTAAATCACGAAGCCTCAGTAAAGCCAGTGTCAAGGAACGCGAACCGCACAGTTCGCTGCAGTCACTCACGACTCCAGTGATACCGGTGGCCGGTACACACGGACGAACCGTTCAGCTCCAGTCGCGTGACGGACTCGCCGACAGCGCGGCGGGTCTACTTTCTGACGGGCCTCAGCTGCTCGGGCCGCTGGTAGTGGCCCTGATTGGCCAGGTGAATGGGCGGCTGGAAGCACTTGACATGCTCCACGGGCAGGTTGTCCTGGTCGCTGTACGAGCTCTTCAGGTACTTGTTGAGCACGGCGAAGATCTGCGAGTTGAGCACCTGGAAGCGCCGGATGCGGTCCACCATCTTCTTCAGCTGGATGCCGGTGACGACGCCGTCCTTTCCGTCCACCCGCTGCACGCGCAGCAGGTGGTAGCAGAAGTCGAGCGCCTCGAACCGCCGCTGCTGGCCGAGCAGCACGATCATGGCGCAGCCGGCCCAGTGCATGCCCTCGCCGAACATTTGTCTGAGAAACACAGGTCGAGTCAGGTCAGGTCAGGTCAGTGAGCGGGACAGCCGGCCCAGTGTTTACCCTCGCAGAACATTTGAAAGGGGACAACGTTGGCTAATGATATTGCACGCCCTACTTAGGTGAGAGACAGTGCCAGCGAGAGCTGCACCATTGCGACATATGTCAGAGTATGGCACCAACCTAGGTACCCCTCACCGGGCCTGATCCATAGTCTGATAAAACACGCTGCAGCAATACAAGGAAGTGCTGGCAGTTCGCCACGGTTGGTTCATCCCCACCCCACACCACTGCCAAAATATGGTTACTAACGGACACGATCTTCCGGACTTAAGCGACATAACACAGACGGGCACTAAGAACCTCCCAATCAAACGTCCCGCCATGGCTCCCACACCCACCCCCAGGGTTCAACAGCACTCATGGCAACACAGAGGCCGCAGCACGACAGGCATCAATAGCAACAACAACAGCACCAACAGCGGCAGCAGCCACGTCACTCACTCGACGGTGAACTCGTTGTCTCCGACCGGTATGCTGTAGACGAACTGCAGCGCCGACCAGAGCCGGTGGAACTCTGTGCACTCCTCGATGTTCATGACGCCGTTCTTGGGCGGCGGCCCCACCCAGATCGGATCGTCCAGGAAGCCGCGCACCCGGCTCAGGATAACCTCGAACACGGAGAGACCGCAGCAGAGCCGCTCGCGGGTCAGCAGGTCGCCCTCCTCGGC